GCTCCGGAGTCATGTCGTCGAAGTGCTGTTCGACCTCCACCTCGGCCAAAGTTGAAAGGTATACGTCGGCCAGTTCCTTCCTTTTCTCTTTCTCCTCCTCCAAAATCATATCGACGTAAGCACGTCGGAGGAGAGCGGCCCTATCCTCGGAGAGTGGCGGCAGATCCGGATTCGCGTTCATCTCTTCGGAACGACGAAGCATCCAGACACAGAACTCACGTTCATCTTCATCAGCCGCCACATGCATCCCTTTTATTTCGGAGTCAAACCCATACTTCTCCAATTTGTGGAAAAGGAACAAGCGAAGGTCGTCAATGTCATAGTATCCCGCGTCATAACGCTCAATGACCCATCGGAGGTTCAGGCAGGTGTTCATTTCGATCTCGAGATCAGGTCCTCCGACCTCATCATCCTCACCGGCCTCAGCAGCTTCGATCTCGGCTTCCTCAACTGACTTTGGTTCTACGGCCACCACGGTCTCTTTGCCAGCTTGGAAACCGATCTCATACATGGTCTCTCCATAAGCCGATTTCTCTCGTTCAAGTTTGGCCATTTCGGCCTGATGGGCATCTCTTTGCCGACCGATGAGCTCGCGGACCTCGGCACATTCTTTGCGAGCCGCTTCATGTCCCACCTTTTCCTCCGACAACGCCTTCTCGATTTCCGCTAACTTAGACTCAGATGTCTTGAAGTGTTGCTCAACCACGGCAAGGCGCGCTTGGAGATCGGCCACCTCGGCCTCAAAAGCCTTCTTCTCCTCGGACAGTGCCAAAGTCTCAGTCCGCATTTTTTCCAAGTCGGCAGCTTGTTCGGAAATCTGGCCCTTCAAGTCGGCCTCCATCTTGGCAGATTCTTCCTTCAACTGGACGATCACCACATCACGCGCAGCTATGATGTCCTTTTTTTCTTTCCAATTGCGACGCAACCCGGCGATGATCGTCCTCGGCAGCCAACAAACTGACCAAGGCCCTGCCCACACATGCCTTGGCATAGCTCAGCTTATCAACGTTGGATAAAGAAGAGACCCCCACCTCGGATTTGGGGTCCCAAACCATCAGCGGAAC